GACCAGGGCTGGTTCAGCTGGGAGAAGGGATGGCTTTGGGGGCACCCAGCAGCATCCCTGGCACCACAGGAGGGGATGGAGGAGACTCAGCCAGACTTCTCACAGAGGTGCGTGGCAGGAGGACAAGAGGCAGCCGCACAGGCTGAAACACGAGAGGCTCAGGCTGGAGATAAGGTGAAGACTTTTCCCCACGAGGACAACCCAGCGGTGGGGCTGGGGCCCAGGGAGGTTGGGCCTTCTCCAGCCTGGGGGGTTTCGTGCCCCGACTGGGTGAAGCCCTGAGCAGCCCGATCTGAGCCCATGGCTGAGCCTGCTCTGGGCAGGGGCAATGCCTGGAGACCTCCCCAGATCACACTGCCAGCCTGAACAGGACCCTGTGAAGGGAGAAATGAAAAGTCGTTCTTTTTTTTTTTTTTTTTTTTTTTTCCCCACAAATCCACTGAATAGTATTAGTCACCTAGACACTCTGTCAGCTGATGACTATGTATCTGTTTAATAGCCCCCAAAAAGTACCAAGTGTTTGTATCAATTTTGGGACTGCTTTTACTTTAGCCATAGCAGCAATATTCCAAGTTAAGTTTCATGAACTTAACTTACTGCAGGGAATACTTGCAAAGGGCTGTTTTGTTCCAAGCTGCTAATGCTGTAGTCAGTGTTGCCTGTATTCACTTTCTCCACACAAAGAGTTTCTGAGATGGCCTCAGAGACCTAAATCAGCAACTGCCCTGCAAGGATTCTCTCACCGCAAACCAGTTAGCCACTCACTGGTGGAAACAGGACTCCGAGGCTTTAGAAAGCCCCACCATTCTTTTGAATTCAGGTGTGTCCTCCTGAAATTACATGCAAGGAAAGTCATAACTCTGCCTTAGCTTGATAGTGCATGACTGCATCCAAGATTTTCACCCATGGTTAGTCATCCTGCATCTCATGGAGAAAGTCCCATAAATCTGAAACAATCCCCTGGGCTCAGAACCTCCAGTCAACCATGGACAAAGTAGCAGCAAAGAAAAACACTGCCAGAAAGCTATCCAATCTTTTTTCTTTGGAAAAACAAGCTGCAGGAACACAGGCACCACTGCATTTGTGGCATCCTCTTCGCATAGCTGCTACAGGATTAAGACTATCATTCCCTCTTTACATTGTTAGTGATGGAGCAGAGGGAGATGGGTCTGACACTAAGGACTACAGTTTCACTTGGAAATTACTTGAGAAGTAACTTACTTTCATGAACCAGGCTTTCAAGATGATAATGTTAATGGCACCTGTGCAGGGTAGTCCACAGGACAACATGTTGCTTCCTAGAGGTGTTGGCTGTTGAGGCAGCAGCAATTTGAGGAATAGCTTCTTTTCAAAAAGCTACAAATCAGGCCTATAGTGGAACTGTTCAGCCCTGGAAGCCATATGATACCTACTTCAAAGTAAAACCCCAAATCATGGACAGATGAGGATCCTCAGCACCAACTGAAAGGGGTATAATCTCCTTATTCACACTTACGTTATGGTGTTACTGTTAGTGTAGATTTAGCACTGAAATACTGGAGAGTTTCCACTGAAACTCCCATAAAACTCAAAACTAAAGTCTTTACTAAATCAGGTGTCAAGGTACTTATGTTTCTTTGCTCTGTCTGCTGTAGGAAGCCTCAAATGACAGAGAAAAATAAAGATTATCAATTAAGAGAAATAAACAAATTAACAAAAATCCCAGGATCTTGTCCTAGAAAGATGAAATCATCCTGTCAACAGAATAAAAGCAACTGCTATTCTTTTTAAAAGGTCAACCATGTTATTTTCAGTTACACTAGAAGCATTCATTTCATACCTATCATCAAGATTCACCAGTGCCCCATAGGTTTGCCACAGGTTGCTGGCTATCACAAAAGACCTGCTTTGCTATGGGGTTTCTCCTAAGTACTCCTCCTCTTCCTACCTCTTCTCCCCCTGAAATGTTATTATCTTTGAAAACGTAACACCTGTGGAAACCAGACATCAACTCCAGTGACTTTACACTGACAGAGTTAGTGGCACCACCTCAGAGAAATATGACTTTGTTAAAATCTGAGATCAGAACCAGGGCATGGTGTTTCACCTTATCCCTCCAACTCCTCAATAGCAGCATTGTGCATTTACATACTAGATGGTACCACAGATCCATGACAAAGTTGTTCTTTTTTCCCCTTCCTTGTTGTACTATTAACAAGAGATTCATTCAGAACACAAAATATTCAATCAGTTGACATTTTGCCCCCCACACTGCTTGAGGCAAAGAGCGGGCAGAGACTGGTTTTGGCATCACATGGATTTTCTCTGTGTCTCAGTTTTGATTCTGACTAGAACAAACAGTACCCTTCAGTTATCATTGTCTCCCAGAAATGAAGCTTTTCTTCAGGAAAACACATGATTTGATAATGAGCTCTACGACATTTTCAGAGTACTGCACATGGGCTGGCATGTTGCTTGGGAACATGACAGACAGTGATATCATACACTTACTGTTTTACACATGGGTATCTGCAGAAATTTCCCCTGCATTCCTTTCACCTTTGAAACTCCATTGAGTTCATCTGGGATAATTTAAATGAAACACTGAACCATTTGGCCAAATGAGCAAGTTTATGCTCCTCACTAATGTTCATTCTTCTTCCTCCCTTTATTTTTCCCTCTGCAAAAAATGCGTTGTTTCAAACTTTAATAGGTCTAGCAAAACCAATTAGATCCTTCTGGTGTTAATCATAGAATGGTTGAGATTGGCAGGGACCTATGAAGGTCATCTAGCTCCAGCAGGGCCACCTAGAGCTGGTTGCCCAGGACTGTGTCCAGATATCTTTTGAGTATCTCCAAGGATGGAGACTCCACAGCTGCTTTGGACAATCTGTGCCTGAGCTCAGTCGCTATCACTGCAAAAAAGTGTTTGCTGATGTTTAGCTGGAGCCTCCTGTTTCAGTGTGCGCCCATTGCCTCTGGTCCTGTCACTGGGCACCACCACGGAAAAATATCCAAAGAAAGATCAGATTTTTACCATAATTGGGAAAACACAAAAGCAGAAAAGTAGCGTGGCTCTTCCCAGCCCTGCATTAGCTAAGAATATTGATATTCAGACTTTTAATCTGATTCCCTAAGGAAATGGATGTTGATCTCTTACACTATTCTTTCCTATTCACTTTGGAGACTATTAGCCATTTTCAACTGCATTTAGAGCCAGGTTCACAGCTTCAAAGACATGTGAAAACTTTAAAGTGTTAAGTCCTTCAAATTTAATTAAAAAAAAAAAATCTGTGGCAGGATAGAGAGGCCCAAATTAATGATTCAATGGGACAAATGACAAGCAGAACATGGTTCTTACATTTTTTTTTTTTTTTTGTGGTAACTACACTGTGGGCCCACCACAGTACTCAGACCTCTGAATTAATCACAGACTGCTGTTTCTTGCTTGGCATTGTAAGTGGAATTACTGCAGCGTGAGCACAGGCAATTCACACAAATCCATAGAAACTGGGCTTCGTTAGTTTGCACCCCGTGGGACAGACTCTCTTTTTGTTGCAGCATTTGCTTACTAGTACAGAATTGAACTGTGCTTGCCCTAATTTAAGACGCTTCTAACACGGTGTAACAGCGTCCATCTATGAGTTGTGCTCCAACTACACTAGTTCCCACAGTTTACAATGGTGCAAAAACTGTGCGCAAACAAAGCTATACTTAAACACATGTGAAAACACCAACCCTCTGCCACAAAATAATCATCCCTAAATCAAAACATGTTTGAATTTAGAAGGAGTCTGTCCACTCTAGGGGTTTGTACTGATTAGGAGGGTAAAATGGTGTTGAGCCGTTTCTCAGAGGGTATGTAACGAATGAAGAAATAACAGATTTTTGAGCTGTTTTTTAGGAGGGAAGGATGCAGACTGTAAGGAGAAAATGAAAAGTTGTCTCCTTACCCCTTTCATGCTAATTAATGCATTCAGAAGCTGTACTGACAGGAATTTAAACTCGTGATAGTCATAAGAGAACAGATCAAAGAAGAAAAAAAACAGATCAAGTCAAGGAAAAGCAAGCTGTACATGCCTTTCAGTTAACAGACGGAACACAGATCTGAAGAAGGTAAGATTTGTATTATTTTATTCTACCAGACATTTTCTGTGTGCTGCTTCAAAATTATGTTTGAGAAGAGGCTTGACTGTCTGTAAGTGAACTCTGAAAATGTTTTGTTTCCTTGGCTAGAATTCTCTTCAGTAAAGTCATCAGGTTTTATACTTTACCTGTGTAATGTAGATAGATTAGCTGGATACTGTCAAGTAGGATCTGTTGTCGTTGTTTAAACATCAGAAACACGATTACTTGTGGTTTTCTTCTTCACTATATTTGATCAATTAGATTTTCAACTGTTCAGACTGCTTTTACCTGGATGATTATTCCCTTAAGACTGGAAATTAAGATTATAATATAAATTCCCTGCACACCTAAGTATAGACTTCAGCAGACATAAATTAGTACAACCATCTGAAAATCAACAGATCTCGGAGAGTTTATGCTGATTGAAAACCTGGCCCTTGAGCATTTACTGGGAATAACACAAAAAAAGAAACAACTACTTGTAAGGACAATACTAGTTTTTCTTCTTCTGAATAGTTTTTCTTGTAAAGGTAAATTGCCTTTCTTTCTATATTCCTGAGAGATTTTACTTCAGAAGTCTGCTATCACTTAGTATCTAAAGAGACCATGCCAAATTCCTCTCTGTCGCACTCAGGTGCAAATACCTTGATGACAGTGGAGCTATGCAAATGTAGACTGTAGTTACAGTTTTGAGTTTTGCCTTAAACTGGGACAGTTGCATACGTACATGGATCTACTTGATTCTGAAGGTATCAGATTGTCTTGCCTCCCTAAAATGCTCTCATTAAAACAAAAAAGGTTGATTGTATTATGCCTTAAAGATAACAAATTAGTTATTGCACTGAAGCTCTGTATTTCTATCCTGTAGGTTTGAGCAGGACCAAGCTCACAAAATGCCTGGAAGAAACCACCATCCAGATGGCAACTTTTTCAGAGGGAAAGGACACAGCTATCTTGCGGCAGAAGAGTAAGCATAAACCAAAACCTATGTTAGCATGTAAGCTGGTGAAAAAGACTTACATTGAAAGAAATGTACAAAACAGTATCAGAAAAAGTCACCACTATATATAGGTGGTATATATGTTTTCGCTATCCTGTAGCTGTCTCTAATGTTTGTCATTGCAGAACCATAAAGAGCCCTCAACAGTTAAGAAAAATCAGAATTACAGAATCCAAGAATCTAGAGCTTGATCATATGATCACAAGTCATGAACCTTTATAATAAAATGACAGGTTTATTTAGAATCTTCTGAGGCTGTTGCAAGATGATCTTTACGCTAAGGTTTATCTCCAGATCCACGTACCTCTCTTCAGAACCTCAAGGGGACACTGTCTCACCTTAAAGAATAATATAAGTGAAAACCTCAGAGAAATGGTAAAATACAAAAAAAAAAGCAGATGGAGACATCAATGCCATACAAATGTGACTCTCAGTAAATTGCTTCTGGGTGAGACTCCACTAATTAGTTCTGGGCAGAACTAATTCAAGCTAATACTAAGTTAGTTTTGGCTTACAATAAAATACGTTGGGTCTTGGATTACTCCAGACACTATCCCACTGGTTATGTGTTATTACTTTAGACAAGTTTTTCCAGTGTGCTTGGGATATCTGCATGTGGCATGTGCTTCTGGTAGTGGTCTACTGCCCTCGAACTTGGTGACTTGTCCCACACACACATACTGCAAGAAATTTGTTTCTCGATGTTCTTCCCTGGGCAGAGAGAATAAACAAGGTGAAGACTCTCATAGTCATTCCAGAACAGTTCAGTTCTCCAAAAGAAAAGGCTGGCTAGTCATGTCTGAGCACTTGAAACTAAGCACAATTACCTCTAATTGCCACAAATTCCAGTGGCTGCAAAGGTAAGCAGTTTTTCTAGATAGGCAAGGGAAAAGTGACTCTCTCCTCCCAGTACCAGAAGGAGCCTTCAAGATGTAAGCACAGATTCCTAATAGCACAGCTGCAACTTTAACTAAATTGCAAGAAATTGCACGCACACTTTTCATACCAACCTCTGAGTAGTTAGATGGCAAACACACAGTTAAAATCATCAGCTGCAGAAATGACTTAAGTTCTGTGGGGGATACAGGCCTGCAGAGAACATGAAAAGCAGAAAGCAGTCTCAAAATGTACAAAAGGCAACAGTTGCTTGGAGAAGTAGTCTCGAGTTTTAACAGTGCTGTGGACAGTAACAAACCCAGTAGAGCCATCTCGTAACTTTGAAGATCAGCTGCAACATGGCTGCACCAGGAAGCTAGTGAGTGCTATGAGCTCAATTCTTGGCTTAAACAGATCTCCAGCCAACACAAAGTCTTGAAGGTGCAGGAGCAACTCGCAAGATTCAGGTGAAAAAGAAAATCCCTTTTGGCTTCAGGTGGTTCATGCTTCAAACAGCACACAGGCAGTTCAGACAATAAGCCTATTCTGCCGCACGTATCTGCTTGCATCTTGTTTCAGGCTTCTTAGGTCACATGGAAACACTCCTTCATGAGCCTCTGAGCCAGTGAAAATTATAGCAAATAGATATAAAAAGTGTCTGAACTCCTCATTCCCAATGGAAAAGCCTGCTGGTAATTACTGCAGGGCAACTGGATATATTAAAGTATGTTATAAGATATATTAAAGTACGTTAGAATGGGTTTATCCTGATTCATGTGACCATTTTTTTTCCCGTCCTCTTTTCCATTTAAGCGTTTTGCAGACCTTTCTGTTCCTGAGCAGGCAGAAAACATAAAAATGGTGAGGGAATTCTGTACATCTTAACAGGGAGGATTTTAGCCTAGGAGGAAGGGTTTTTTTGACTAGGAAACTTGAAATTACTTTTTCAGCTTCTTTCTGAGATAGTGGAACTGTGTTACTTCTCCCAAGTCCCCAGTAAGCAGTGGGAAGGATGTCTTACAGCACAGTTTGCAAAGCCTATGTTCCCTAAAATGACCCAGTGACACCAATACTGTGCCTAGTATGTCACGGAACAAGAATTAAAGAATTACAGAGCTCTTTATGAATACTTCAAAGTTTCTTGAGTTTTGAGATTGTGTAGTGGTTTATGTATCAAAAAAATCCTTCTGTCACCAGCAGTTGTTGCAGTATGATGCAATTAGGATACATTTCTCAATACTTGCTGCCTAGAGAAATTTAGCAAACAAACACGAGCTGTGCCTCTGCAGGTGTGGCATTTAATTTGTTGCAAATTCTCTTGCATTTTGCAGTGCTGTTTGCTGGATTTATAGACGGGGGTTTTTTAGAAGCAGTAGTCACCGGTAGATTACTTTCTTTGAAGCAATATATTCCTAATTTTTAAAATGCTTAAGAACTTGGCAGACAATTTAGCTAACTGCCAGATCTACAAAGACTGGCTAAAGTTATTGATACTTTGTCTGTTTTCTGAGGGAAATTCTGCTCCATGTCTTCTTCTGGTAAACGGATAGTGACATAAACTTTTGCTCTAATAATTTCTGCTCCCAGAAGAATGCATCTAGTTCTGGTGTTAATTATTTTTGTTTTGCTTCCCCAACAGAGCTCTGGGTATTGGACTCTTCATTTTGGTGCTGGCAATTTTACTTATCTTTGGCTGCTGGTATTACAAAAGACGTAGTGGCTATAAAAGTCTGCGGGTAAGCGTGGCAGCTCACTTTCTGGCATGCTATTATTTTGACAACATATTATTCACATTGCATTAATGCAGAGAACATCGAATCTGTAATAGGACATAATTATCTCAGGCAATATCTACACTGACATATACACAGGTAAAACCACACAATATGAAACACGCCTTGCCCTGAAGAACTTGCAAGTCGGGCAAAGGGGTCAGAGGAAGCAGAAGCACTGGCAAATGGAGCCAGTTGCCCAACATTGCAGAACACATAGGTGAAAAACTAATCTCTAGGTCTCTAGGAAGCATTATATTTAATATTTACACAAAATCAAGATATGTTCTGTGTATTTTCACTTAAACAAAAATAATGTATTCATTACTCATAAGACTTACCCCTAAACAAGGACAGATATGATTACAGTAAATCTAGGAAGCAGAGGAGAAAAATAACTGTTACAAGTAACAAAGTAAGTGCTATGTTCGTGTATGGGTGATGCACGATTTATTTCTATAAAAGTTGACTTCCAGTTTTAAGATTTACAAAAAAGCAGGGCAGGTTTCAGGTTTGCTTTCTAAACACTACTTCTAAAAATTCTACTTTATGTCTTCTTAAAAAGTATATTAAAAAAGGTACAATCCCTCTCATAACATCTGTTGTTAGAAGTCTCACAGCTTTATCTTTGAAGTTCTGCTCTCCTGTGAAAGGAAGGCCACTTTTAATCCTTTAAACGTAAACTTTTAATCCTTTAAATCCTTGCAAACTTTATCCAAATATATATGTTTTACAGTAAATATATTTTAGTTATCCTAGTATTTTGAAAAAGATGTGACCATTTGGAATTAAAAAACGTACCTCTCATCTGAGCCAGCAAATCCGTTTCCTCACTGTTTCTGATACCTTTGCCCTGTTACCTTTCCTGTGATCTACGCAATACACATATCAACTGGCAGAATACATAAAACCTGAACTTCCATAGTGAAATGTTGTAAAATGAAGATAATGCACAAAAAAACCTTCAAAAAGCAAACAAGAATTCTTTCGTGCCTGCTTTGTACATCATGGGAGAAAGCACAACTTCTTTTTTAATTCCTTCTCATTGCAGATTCCTGCTTTCTGGTTTTGAATATCAAAATTTTTTTAGGCTTTTTGGCTAGAGGAGAGGTGGTACAGAACGTATACAAAAGAAATGGTGGAAAATAGAAAAGAAAAAGGTTGGAGATTTAAGAAAGAAATGGGTGGGATAAAAAGCAAGAAGCATTCAGACATGTGAGAAGGTGTGTCAGTTCCTGCAGCAGACCCAGACCTAAAAAATGTGATCCTCATTTTTCTGGCATTATAACCGGATAATACAGGAGAGAGAGTATGTCTCAGCAGAGATAGCAAAAAGTGGTAGGCAGACTACCCCTCTTACTTGCTGGCATTACGTCTGGCTCTAATCCCAGATTCTAATGCATCCTGTAAATGTGCTGTCAAATATTCAATGACGCATAATTTGCTCCAACTTCACATTCTCTTCTTTCTTTCTTCCTCCCCATGTTTCTTTATGATCTGCCACAGAGCAAAAGCTCTAGTGTGGGCACAGTACGAACTGTGGTAGGTGAGGGAACAACACCGGACTGCAAAACGGCTCTGCAGGAGTACAAAAACTTTAATTGTGTGGTAAGTCACAACTCAAGGTTTCATTTACTTACAACATAGTAAGACATGGTGAGACAATCTTGGTAAACAGTCACTTGTTGATTATTTCTTTCTTGGAGTGTGCTCTCTAGATTAGGTCTTCACTTCCTCTACAGTAAATTACAAAGTAGTATTTTGAAGAATTTTTGTTGTGAAAAGAGTTTTTTAAATCTACTATTAAGAATTCTTCTTTTAAAAAATTATCTTGTTTCACCTACCTTTATTCTTAAGTTGTGTGATCATTATGCAGCCTATTTGAATGATGTTAACACCTGAATGCTGAAATACACTGAATAAACAAATGTCCCCCTAATAGATGTTCTGCCATTCTGACAAAAAACAAATGGACTGTGTCTGGTATACTATACCCTGACAAGGATTGTCAGGGAATGTTATAAAACTTCAAGCTCCTCTAATCATTATGGAAAGATGAACATTCAAATGTATAATTTTAAAAAAGTTAAAATAATCGATAAATCTGTATGTGAAATCAATTTAGAACCAATTTTAAATAAGCTGCCCAAATTGCTAACATTGGAAATAAGACAATGTATCTGCATCAAGACTCTTAAAGAAAAATTTCAATATTAACTTGAATTCTCACTATAGGGGAAAAAAAAAACCCTCCTTTTTTTTTTTTTTTTTTTAAATTCCTGTCCTTATAACACCAAAACTTCTCTCTTTGGATGAATGATACAAACAAAACAAATTTAATCTGATGCAAACCCAAAAAACATATTAGCAAAAACCAATCTTAAAAAGAATAAAGACTGACTGAATGAGCTCAGCTATCTTAAGCTGTAGTACCATATCTGATACGAAGGTAAATAGCTTGTTGCATCTTGAATGTTATTTTCTTGTACCTAAATTGTTTTTTCAATCTTTCACACACATTTTCCTTACCATAGGTACCTGATGCTCCACCAGCTTATGACAAAATTGCTGCAGATCAGTCACCACCTCCTTACTCACCATGACAACGCAAAATCTTAAACATATCGATTCAATTTCTTCATGCTTCCTATTAATTTCCTGTACATGCTTAACTTTCTTAAAGCTAAAATAGTAAAGAAAAATCACATGCTTTCATTAGCAGTTGCTGAAAATTATTCCTGCTTAGTTTGCAGAACTGGTCCTTGAAATGCCTCAATAAATCTGAATGTGTAAACAATCTTTTGTTGCACGTTTTTAATTTCCTGTAGTCAGATTAATACACTATACTCAAGTCCGGGCATCTTGCACGCTTCACAGATCTATCAAGAGTAAGTATATACCATTGAGTATCAAAAAGAGTAAAAAGTGTTGGCATCTTTGTTTTCATCTTCCTCACTTACTCTCCCCTTCTTTAAAAAAGGATCTGTCATAAAATGGACAAAACCATTTGACTACATGTCCTGTTACAAAGACTAACCATTTTCCCTACGAGCAGTTCTAAAATTAACCTGCAAAAAGTGACTGTATTTTACAACAGGCTTTTACATCACTTGTTCACGTACCTGTGATGAAATAATTCCTCAAAAAACACGATCCAGGCAGCCTAGGAATCTCTGCTTAGAGTCCATATTATTTCACACTGGTCATTTGCTATAATGACGATCACCTCGAGTTTCCTTCTGGCAGTCTTGTGAGAAAGCAAAAGAATTTGGTGGATACAGATCTTTACATGTCATCTGTTTCTAACGTGATGAAACAATAAGAGAAAGGGAGTGAAGCCCACATTCCTTGAAGAATACAGAAGACAGCAGACTTCAAGGTGTTAATTTTTCCATGTTGCCAGAACACTTGCAGTAATAGAAAACAAAGAATTGTGATATATAAAAATTAGGCTACATACATTTGGCAGTTATTGTTTACTTAGCTTTTTTTGTTATTGTTTATTTGCCAGATTATTACTTAAGATTATATGCAGATCAACAAATTTACACACAAGACCTGATATCTCACAGTAGGAGGCAGCTGAAGTTGTACAACATTCATTAAAATGAAGGGGAATTACAAAAGAAAACTATTTTTGTAAAATAATTATTAACTGTTATGAGTAGTAATAACAGTTCTTTGTAATTAAATATGCAAACACAAACACCTTCAAACAAAAAAAAGGTTTTAAATACAAGGTAGATTTACTTGCCTAACATAAACTCCATATATATATTGACAAATAAGACAATACAGGTTTTTAGAAATGTTTCTTTTGTAATAAACATGCTTATATAGATCAGTAAAATTAGACACTTGTTGGAAGGTGATATCTGTAATTGCTGTGAAAGGTTATAATCAATGTATCTGTTTTTATAAATTTAGTTGATATTTCTATTTAGAAATTTAGAGAGGTACTTTAACCTTAAAAGCTGTCTTACATGTGTCATTTCCAATATACACCTTTGAGGAAAAAATTCTGTGGACTTGTTCAGTGACAGGAAGAATATCACGGGTTAGGGCTGGGCTGGCCACTAACGCTCTCTATTAACCCCTCTCCCCTCCCAGAAGAGGAAAGGAGAGAGAATAAGGAAAAGAGTCTTATGGGTTGGAAATGAAAACTAAAATCACTTTAATGAAACAACAGGATTAAAAGAAAACATAGTAATACTAACAAGAAAATAGTAAAATATATACAAACATATACGAACCCAATACCAAACCATACCCCCCTGGTGATCACACCTCACCAGTGACACTGCAGGGCTGGCACTGGGGCAGTCCCAGGCTGGACCCCACAGCAGATGGGAACCAGACTCAGGAGCTGGATTCAGGAACCGGATTCTGCAATGCATGGATCGGGACCGAAGGCAGAAGGACGCACAGAGCCCTCCTCAGCTGTCAGCCATCGAAGAAGAGGGCTTGACCCTCGTGGCCCCTCAGCTTTATAGGGAATATGACCTATGTGGGACGGAATACTTGGTTGGTCAGTTTGGGTCACCTGTCCTGTCTGCTCCTCCCTGCAGGTGCCACCTTTTTACTTCATTACAAGCCCTTCACTTACAGCACCTCAACACCGAGTACAAGATTTAGCAGGGACTTTGGTTTCTATAGGAGTAACAACAAGCAAGAGCCTTTCTGCACACCACTCCTTGGTAGTACCTATAAACACCAAATGCTGTCAGTACGAGCAGCAGTCACTGTCTGGAAAAACATGCTTGATTTCAGAAAGTGCAGTCACTCAGAAGAGACTTAGCTGAAAAGTAAGATCATTGAACAGAGAATTGTTTCTGTTCTAGATCAAACCAGGACAAAGAATAATACACAGGAAAATATATAAAACGCCAGCTTAGAGCTAGAGATGTAGAACACAATGGCTGACTAATTTTTTTTGCAGAACTGGTAAGCTAAAGCTTGAGGCTAATTATCTTTAGCAACTCTATTCTGCAGCTTTCTACCCTGGGGCAACAACCTTTCAAAAGACTGTGTGGTGCCATATTTGAATGGAACTGACATACACATTCATGGTTGAGATAAAAAATAATTCTATAAAGATTAATTACTATAAAGAAGTGAAGTACTTGGAGTTCAAACAGCTTTACTTGATCCCACGCATTTTTCAGTGGTATCAGCATTAAATACGTGACCAGCCATTTCCAAAGTTCATGAGGAAGTTAACATTGGCTAAGTAGAAACATTAATTTATTTCCAGAACTACATAAGGCCAAATTGTTGGAACTGCTCAGCAGCCAGAGTTGGTACTATTGAACTTTGACACTAACTTACAAATACCTATAGGATAGATAAGCCCTCTTGGAAATCTATCCTTAGTTTTCAGAAAGTCCTCCCATTTTTCCTCTCTGTGAAAGCAGTACTCTTTCGTTATAAACAGAGTTAGACATTGGTCTCAGATTTTAATTAGTGCATGAAAATAATAGCAAGAAATAAAGTACTGTATTATGTAGGTGGAAGCTCCATCACACGTGCTAAACACCCTCACAAATTCCATTTTTCAAATCTAGCTCTATACCCACTGAGGGTACACTGGAGAGGCTGGCTGCTGATCCATTAAAAAACACCAAATACAGGACAGGTCAGAACTTGAAAGCAAGAGAGCTGTAATTGCCAAAGTTGCATGCTGCAAAACCTGGCTGTGCCGTGTACTTTCTGCATTACACTCAATCACACCGCACTTGACCAAAGACAAGTTAAAACTTTCTAGGATGTCTGTCCCCTTAAAAAGAAAGAAATGCATAGAAACTTCTCAGCCAACACACATGAAGAATGTAGTATAGGGGTTTCAAATTTTCAGGAAAGTCTTCCACATTGGACACTCATATGACCCAGAGTAATAAATGATCACCAAAATGTATAATTTCTCTGGTATGGTCATGTATGTACACCCTCTTTGCAATCAGGCTGCAATCAGATGACTGGTATTACAACTATAATTCTCAACAACATGAACTTTGTGCTTTATTTTCCGCCACCAAATCAGCAAATGAAGAAACCCATGTGCAATCTGAGTTCTCCCCCAGGATGCTGATGAAGAGAGGTTGCTGTTGATACCTGGAGAATGAAGCTCTGCTTGCTGCTGGTCTGCATTAAACTGCTTCCATCAGAGAAGCAGGCATGCTGTTATTAAAGCTTATCTGTACAGGAGGATCTTAGCAACATCTCTATAGCTATGCATGCAATCCTTATGTAGACACAAAGACAACCAGGCCTTTCATTAATATAGTGTGTTTCAGTTAGATTGGTAAATTATAATGGCAGCAGCAGTTGCATTGTTTGTGTCTGGACTCCTGGTATAATCCTGATGGATCATCTACTTCCTAATGAGGTTACAAGCCTCAGTGTGGCCTTAAAACTTTCCAGAATATTAGTCAGCCATGCCAGCCATTGCACTAAGGCAAAATGCAGCAGGTCCTGATGAGTGCAGTCTTCCTGGCATACTGAACATACTCACTGGGCCAAAAGCCATATGGTATATACCGCACACATCAGAGAGTTATGATAACAGAAAGTACCAGGGACATTCTGCAGGAAGCACTTGGTTTCTTAGTGTCTCACCCGCCCAGTGTAACAGGACTGGCACACGCAGCTGGTTGCCAGAACAATCCAGTGATGTTCACCTCAGCATTCTCTTTTGGCTTAGTATGTGTTGCAGCTGGAGATGTACACAGATTATCTTGGCCTCAAGAACTGTGTTAGTATTAACCATATTGCTTGTAATTTTCCGGATAAATAAAACACTGCCAGCTTATTTTGAATCATGTTTATGTATAATATTGGTAAAATATCCATTACTTTGTTGGTGTATGTCCATGTATTCATGTGACATAAGCGTACATTTTCTTGCCTTTAAAAGCAAACTTATTTTCACTTCTTATGGAAAGGAAAAGGTTAATGAGTTCCTCTGTGCTTTGGAGAAGCAGCATTTATTCATTCGTACTTTTCTGTTGACTGCATATTAAACTGTGCAACTGTGGTGGTTTGGTCCTGGCCAGATGCCAGGTGCCCACCAAAGCCACTCTATCACTCTCACACCCCCAGCTGGACAGGGGAGAGGAAATGTAACAGGCACGTGGGTCGGATAAAGACAGTTTAATGAAGCAAAAGCTGCGCGCAGAAGCAAAAGCAAAACAAAAGATCTTATTCTCTCCTTCCCATCAGCAGGTGATGTCCAGCCTCTTTGTGGGAAGTAGGGCTCTGGTATGCGTAGCAGTTGCTCCGGACAACAAATGCAAAATGAATCTCCCCCCCTTCTTCCTGTTTTCCCCAGCTTATATTGCTGAGCAGACGTCATGTAGTATGGAATATCCCTTTGGACAGCCTGGGTCAGCTGTTCTGGCTATATCCCCTCCCAAGTTTCTACCCACCCCCAGCCTACTGGGGAAATGTTGGGGAAACAGCCTTGATGCTGTGTGAGCCCTACTCAGCAGTGGTCAAAACACTGGTGTGTTATCCAGCTACCACTGCACAGCACGGTGAGGGCTGCATCTCAGGCAGATCCACTACAGCAACACAACTGGAAGACTGTTGTGTGTTCACGCCATTT